ATACATAATTAACATCTCCCTAACGCAAAAATACATCTTGATAATACATTTGTTCTGTGAGAGACAATTTCAAATTCTAATTCGGTAAAAATATTTTAAAGCTAATGACCTGTTTTAGAACTCACATCTCACCAGACAGATCTATTAAATATCCATCCGTTAAAATTTTTAATAGAAACTAGCTTGGTCCTTTTAGGCAATGGAATTTTTCTCTCTTTGACATAAAGTTCACGTGTGGCGATTGCTTTTATGAGCGTTGATTCTTGAAATTAGATCATTTGGTTTTCTTTCACCAGGAAGCAGCGTCGGTTGGTCCATGTCATCGATACTCTGTTCTGAAAAGATGGCAGCATGATGCCTCTATTTGCTTCATACATCAGTCGGTCTGCCATGTTCTAGATAGGTGCATTTTCAAGATCACAGTGATGTCTAGTGGGGCAAAGGAAGGACTCCACTCACTGCTCAAGTTACAGGAAGAAGAAAGCAATTTTGGCAGAAACGTTTGACGATAATTTATCCGAACTTAGATTTGTTAGCGTTCTTTGAACACTTTAATTTGCTCCATCTTGGGGTCGTTTTTGATTTCTGCCAGATATTTTATTTCTTGGTGTGTTTAAGAATGTGGCATTTGCCCAAGGAAATGTTTGCAACCACAGCGATGATTTATCCTGGATGGATATGGCCAGTGTGCGTAATTTAATAAAAAGAGGAAAAAGGATCCGTTTGATGTCCATTGTCTCGTCAGTTGATTTATCTTGTGCTGTGTCATGGATTTCATGGTAATCTCCATTTTTTAGGTTCAAAGGTCGCATGTAAAAGAATAAGATTTGCTATATAAAGAACAAACAACTTCGAAAGTAGGAAGAAGACTGATATTTTTTAATTTCGGAGAAATGCCGGCAAAAACTTGCAATTCGCATCTTCAACAACAATCTCTCTGAAAATGTCAACTTAGCTAGAGTCAGGAACTTGGTATGGTTTTTAAGGACTGCAAAACAGGACTTGAAATGGATCATGAGGTGATGGAAACAAACATAACTGAACATGCTTTCAGACCAAAATGGCTGCTGGAAATTGTGCCCAACTTATTGATTCATGAAAATTACTTGGGGATTTCTAACAGGATAACCCATTATCCACAATAGAGACACATTTAAGTTGTAACTATTTTGGGTTTACATCATATTCCAGGATACTATTGTACTTTGGTGAAGTGTAATTGTCGAGTTTAGGTCTTCGGGAACACATTTCTTGGCTGGAGACGAGCCTAAAAACATAACCAGCAGTATAAGCAGGCCGCATAGATTGACGGCTGTAAAAGAGACCACGTCTTTTGTTCGATTCCTTTGTTCAAATCTTGCCCGAACAATGAACTGCTTCCAGCCACATGGAAGACGCCGCATTTGTTATGCTTGAATGAACACTTGGGAGTAGATATCACAAAATCTCGAA